GATTATCATGCAATTAACCAGTCCCATATTAAACTCTCGCAGGTCACAGAATTGAAGAAGAAACTAGATGTTCAGTCTCAGCTTTCAACCAGAAGGCCAAAAGGTGATGGAGCAACTAAACAGACAGATTTTGAGATCATGAGTTTGAAGGCTCAGAAGGTAAAATATTGCTGCACAGTATATTATTCATGCTTATGTGAAACTCTTCTATTGTTCTCTTCGTCTACGTCCATTGCCAACAGAAAATTTTCATTTAGGTTCAACTACAATGCAAGATGAAGCTAGAGTCTGTGCAGTTCAGATTATGTAAAGGTTCATTGGAGAAGGAAGTTCTTCAGGTATGTTAAATACATATTATATCACCATCACTGTTCATCTTGTAATCCTGACTGCTGCTCTAAATAATTTAGTATTGATATTATATGTGGTTTGAAAATTCACATTTAGATGTTTGGATTATGGATTTTATCTCTGTTATTGACATCCATATATCATTTTTCCCATAGACCGACTGTTTGTAGCTTAATTTATTTTTTGAACAATGTTTTTCAATGTGCTATCAGCTCAAGAGAGAGAATAGAAGAAATGAGCATGAAATGAATAAGCTCCGAACTTCAAACCAAAGACTAAAGATGGTGAGTCATATTCTTTTGGAGCCGATCTATTGTGTTTCTCAACTTCTATTTTAATTTTTATAGAACGGTTTCATGTTAAATGTTTTGTAATTTTCTTTCTTGAGGTTCTGCAACGGAAGACCGAGGAAGCTTCTGAAATTACAAAAAAGATGAGAAACCTTTTGGAATCTCGAAGAACTTCTGCTCAAAGAAGAACAGGTTAAGAACCAACGTTCTCATCATCAAGTTTGTTTTCTACTTAACCGTATTCACTTCTTTTTCTCCCTTTTGGAGTATCATATGCAGGTGCCAGACAGGAAAATGTTACTTCTAGTCAGGTAATTCGTGGAATTTCAGCTTGATGTTTGCATGTCTATATATGCCTCAATCAGCTAGCGATTGTGGGTGGATTAACTTGTCATATCACTGCGGTTGTACATCGTATAATCATGTTTGTTGGTGCATATCTGCAAACGAATTAATTTTTTGGTTGTAACTGTGAAGTCTTTCTCTAACAATATCTTAGTTCCAGTTTTTTTTTTTTTTTTTTTTTTTTTTTTTTTTTGCATACCATTGTAGGCTTTGTTTTATTCTTCAAATCTTCGTGTTGGTATTGTATTTATAATTGGCATTAAGAAAATCTTCTGTTGGTGATCGCATTTCAGAATTATCATGAATTACTTAACAGTTCCTGGTTTTGTTTGAAGTTGCGTCTGTTGTGGTATTCTTAGAACTTAAAGAGGCTTCCCTTTTTAATCTGCCGTAACGTGAGACTAAAATTAAGTAAAACGACGCATGTTAAACATTTAGGTTAGTGGATACAACATTGACAACTTTTATTGAAATGGGCAGTACACTTTAAGCTTCCAGCTGCACATCTCGGCATTACCTCTAGGAACTTTTGGTCTGAGTAGAAAAGCAGTTCTTACTCGTGCACTCCTGCATATGAATGTGTATTGCTTATGATATATGTATATCAAAATTCATTTGGATTTAAAGCGTATAACAAGTGCTTTATGCTGGCTGTGACTCATGAGTTATGACTTATGACCAAAAGTTCTAAGAGTCCTGAATTTCGTGCATATGTGATCCCTGAAGATGTTCCCAACAAGATTTTTCTAGTGACTGAAGCGTTTTCTTTTTTGTGCTTTTTGACAGTATACTCTTCCATAAAAAAAAAAAAAGCTTTAAGCACAAATGAATTATATATTATCCATGTGGATGTAAAGAAAGAGATTGGATAAATAAATCACGACTGCATCTTTGGTGATTTTTGTTTAACTGCAAAATTTTCGTGCAGTCTGTTGAGAATGAATTCGAAGTCACAGCAAGCTTACATGAGCTGTGTTCCCAGTATGAGCATCAAATAGAAGAGTGAGTATTTGATGCTTTCTTTCCTTTAAAAATGTCACCACCCTTACTGTTCAATCCAAAATTCTACTTCTATTAGAATTGGTTCTTGTGCTTGGTTCAATCCATCGTTAATTTCACATGTGACCATTGAATGGTTGGGCTAGGCATGTTTCTTTTAAATTCATCTATATGTGAATTAAAAATTTCTTTTGGACTGTAAGATGTCTGTGACTTGATATTGAGTCCAGTGATTCTTTAAATGAATAAAAACTATAGTGAAAATTAAATTGGCTTTCGTTTATTCTTGCTTGGTCGACTAGATGGTGAAGCAGAAACGCGGTCCTTGATTGCAGATGAAAAATTGATTGCATCGACATGTTTAATTCTTGTTGCAGCTTGAAATAATTCTTTACTTACTTTATTTGTTTATTTGTTCTGAATGAATTTTGGCCGAGTTAACGTTCTCATTTTATGAGAGTAACTTACACAACTCATGGAATTAAAATGTTACAAGAATTTTGTTTGGTGCTGCTAGACATGCTTGGAGCTTCTGGCCATTTGGCTTATGAAGTAAAAATAAATAAATCGTTTGTCTTCCTTATGCACTGGCATCCTCATTATTAAAATGTGGCATTTGCCTTTTGTACTTAATCAATGACTGCAAAGTTTAATTACCTGCCTACAACTTGATTTTTGATGTTTATATTCACAATTTTCTGTGGTTAGGAAGGATAAGGAAATTGCAAAACTCCAGGAAGAAGCAGATGCCTTAAAGCAAGAAAAAACAGGGTAAATGTTTTGAAATGTTGTGAGGTTGAGGCAGTTCTAGTAGGACTACTACTGTTTTTCACTTCTCCAGAACTTCATTCACCTTTTGATTCCTGCCTTTTCAGGTACCAATCATTGGAGACTGATAACGTATTGGGAAACAATCAAGATGTGGCTGAACTAAAGGAACAGATGGTCATATTAAGTGGCTTGGTTAACCAAATGCGAATCCAGAAGTTCAATCATACTCAAAAGGGTGAATCAAAGGTCAGTGCATTTGGCTTGTAGGCTGCCATTTTCTTGAGCTTGATAGCTTCCTTACCCATCTCATGTGAACACCGTTAGTAACCACGAATCTCTACCATAGTATGATATTGTCCACTTTTGAGTATAAGTTCTCATTGATTTGCTTTAGGCTTCCCAAAAGGCCTCATACCAATGGAGATGTATTCCTTACTTATAAACCATGATCGTCCTCTAAATTAGCCAACGTGGACTCACACAACTGAGACTTCTAAGCATAAAACATGATATGAATTCTATGAAGCTGAACTGATCATATAGTTTTATGTTAGGATGATTCCGGTCCATCCTCTGCCAGCAATGGGAGTATTAATCTATTCGAGCAGTTCTCTATAGCTGGAGAAGAACATCGGCACGGTTTTAACGTGGCGACGAAGAGAGCTGTAAAAGCAGAATGCTGCTCTTGCAGCAAGAAATCACTGTGCAAGACAACGAAGTGCAAATGCCGATCAACCGGAAGCAGCTGTGGGTCATCATGTGGATGTGCGCATGGAAAGTGCAGCAACAGAGATGAGAAACCAAGTGAGATGGTCGATGAATTTGGGCCACAAATGAATCCTTTATCTGACATAAAAAATTTACTGGTAAGTTATGGCTTTTATAACTAAATTATTTGAACACATCCTAATTTTTCTTCTATCTTTATTAACAACAAATTTGAACTCTGCAGATCAATTAGACGTAATGTTACTTGCCAATGAACATAGGCAGGGCGAATGGCTACATTTGAGTTTCCTGCTGCCGAGCTGATCCGCCCATCCACCTTAAAACACTGCACAAATGGCCTAATTTGGAGTTTTACCGCTAATACTAAAAAATGAGGACCTACTGATTTTCCTCGCCCTCTACTTGAGCCAGAACTGTCTCAGATTGATGAAATGATATCATTTGATGCAAATTGCTGCTATTAGCGTTGATTTTTTTACCCTTTAACTTCGGTCAATTCTTTTAATTGGACACGAAATGTTGTATTCAGCTCTCTCAACTTGTTATTTAAATTTTCATCGGACATTGTTACAGGGGAGGAGGCAGAAACTTGGTCAAGGATAGAGCATCCTTTGCTTGAATGAGATTCTGCTTCGGACCCCTACATTCTGGTCAGAGATGTATTCTTTTCGTGCTGTTATTCTTTTCATTTGTTATATGATCTTCATCCAATAGGATATTGGCTGTTACTTACTTAATAGGTGACAATTTGAAATGTTTAGGTATCTAAAATAGCCTTACTAAACATTTGATTTTATATCGTATTTGTTATTTTGTATTTATCAAGTCTTTTCTACTTTTTAGGGTCTAAAAAGTCATTGATTTGATTTGTTCGGCATTTTAATATTTATAGATATATTAGACATAAAAGTAAAAATGTTTGAATTAGGTTAGATACAAATTTGAAAGTTTGATGATCTATTAAATGTTTAAATTTGAAAGTTTAAAGATCTATTAAATGTTTAATTTTTTATAAATGTGTGAAAACTTCCCCCTTTTAACACATTTTAAAACCTTGAGAGAGAACTCGAAAGGAAAGGTCTAAAGAGCGTAAGAAATTACGACTCTCCACAATGGTATGATATTGTCTACTTTGAACATAAGCTCTCATAGCTTTGTTTTGGGTTTCCCAAAAAGCCTCATATCAATGAAGTTAGTATTCCTCACTTATAAACTCATGATCTTCCATTAAATTAACAAACGTGGCACTTACTCTTGCTAAATTAACCAATGTGGGACTCACTTCCAATAATCCTCGACAAAGAGGACAATATCTGCTAGCAAGAAGCTAGCTTGGACTGTTACAAATGGTATTAGAGCCAGACATCGATATGACAGCGAGAACACGGACCATCTTTGGGAGATGGATTGTGAGATCCCATCGGTTACGTAGGAGAACAAAATCCCTTCCTAACAAACGCATTTTAAAACCGAATGCTTAAAGAAGACAATATCTATTAGTGCTGGACTTAGAAAGATACGGAATAAAGAATAAATTCAGAAATCTAAAGTAAAAGGACGTTGGGCTTATCGAACCTAATTTCTACTGACCAGTGCCAAGTTTCTGGATCCAATATTGGAGTTGACCGGCAACACATTCCGATCCCGTGGAGCCATAAGACGAAAATTTGCTAACTGCATTTTCTACTCCAAGAAATTCGTAAACGTCGTCGCCAAAGATCGGACTCAACATTCGCAGATCATTGAGACTCAGGTCCTTCAGCTGGCAGTTCTTTCCAAGACACATTGTTACACACTTGCCTACAATATCATGAGATGTTCTGAAAGGGACTCCCTGTTTAAGAAGATGGATGAAATCAGAGACTTAGAATCACTTCTAAAATTTGAAAAGGACCCATCTTCTAAAATAATTGAAATTGTTCTTTTTTTCTTGTCGAGTAACGAATTAAGCCTCTAGGAATATTTGCTTTTGCCAATCCCCTAAAAGAAAATTGTTCTAAACAGCAGTTTTCGAAACAAATGTAAGTAACTGTTTTGGTATCAAAGAAAGCTCACTGTTGCAACATTGGGGTCCTTGAAAGAATCTTTTAATCAAAACATGCCATGTGTTGAATCTATGTTCGTTTCTTGAATTTTAATAACATGAGTAATTTTTTTTGTAGATGAAAATACTTAAAGGTTTATTTTCATGGTGGCTAATTATGATTATGTATACATTATAATTATAGTCATAAACTATAGAAGTTACAACTCTTGAAATGTCTCAGTAAAGTTAAAAAGTTTTCATTATGGGATATATAAACTATGTATATTATATTTGTTAGGGAGACTTGAAAAATGTAGTAAAAGTAGCATTTGTACTTCCCTTAAGTTTCTTTGCAAATCATTCAAGCTTGACATGATCAATTTTGTAGAGTGATTCAAATCTCAAACAAGTATTTTTGCCTTGAGATATTGGATCAATAAGATAATCTGAATTTTACTTTCCCTTTGAGCTATTCTTTATGATTAGGGCTAAGTGTTCTTACCTTTTCTTTGTTCTATTTAGTTTAGTGGCATATTTAGAATCATTCCAGTTAGACATGATCGATCTTACTTGTGGAATGATTCGAATCTCAAACAAGTGTTCTTGCTTTGAGATATTCGATTAACAAGGTAATCCGAATCTTACTGATTCTTTATCAGACAAGTATTCACATTTGTCGTCCGGTAGTGTTAAGCCATTTCTCTATAATAGTGTTAACATTTGCCAAGTGCTCTTCTAACAAAGATGAGTAAAAGACAGTATATATATATATACTATCCTTATGCACGAGATAGTCTGCAAGTGTGGTTGCGTCAAGATGACCAAGAGGCAACGCCTTCTTTATTCTGTCCTGATTGAAACTGATGTTCCGAGCAAACTCAGCTGAAACCTCAAGCATCCCTAAAACTGTCCTAACACTATCAAACACAGGCTCCTTGTCTTCCTGTCTCAGCACGAACAACTTAATAACACGAAAAGAACGTGAAAGAAAGCCTTCTGAAAAGGAAATTTGAATTGTCAAGAAATTCAAACCTGCAGATCGCGGTTGTATGCAAGAGGAAGACCCTTGCACAATGTTAAAAGGGTTACTAAATCGCCTACGACTCTAGCCGACTTTCCACGAACGAGTTCCATTGGATCCGGGTTTTTCTTTTGGGGCATTATGCTACTTCCAGTTGAAACAGAGTCATTAGGTGCGATGAATCCAAACTCCTCTGAGGCCCACAGTACCCATTCTTCTCCCAGACGAGAAAGATGGATGGCTGTAATTGAATTGGCAGAAAGAAACTCCATTGCAAAATCCCGATCTGAAACAGCATCGATACTATCTCGAACGATGAAATTTACATGTCAGATAGAAAAATATGAAGAACTGCAGAAATCTTGTATGAAATTTACATGTCAGATAGAAAAATATGAAGAACTGCAGAAATCTTGTAACGACCCAAGTCCACCGCTAGCAGATATTGTCTTCTTTGGATTTTCCGTTTTGGGCTTCCCCTCAAGGCTTTAAAACGCGTCTCCTAGGGGAAGGTTTCCACACCCTTATCAAGGGTGTTTTGTTCTCCTCCCCAACCAATGTGGGACATCACAATCCACCCCCCCTTCGGGGCCTAGCATCCTTGCCAGTACTCTTTCCTTTCTCCAATCGATGAGGGACCGACCAAATCCACCCCCCTTTGGGGCCAGCGTCCTTACTGGCACACCACCCCGTGTTTACCCTCCTTAGGGGAACAGCGAGAAGGCTGGCACATCGTTCGGTGTTTGGCTCTGATACCATTTGTAACGACCCAGGTTCACTGCTAGCAGATAAAGCCTAAAGTGGACAATATCTACTAGCAAGGACCTCGTTCGTTACAAGTCTAACCTCACATCTAATCTTTGGGAGGAGTCCCATCTGGGCTAATTTTGGGAACGGTCATGGGAAACCCAAAGCAAAGCCATGAGAGCTTATGCAACAATATCATACCATTATAGAGAGTTGTGATTGCTAACATGGTATTAGAGTCATGCCCTAAACTTAACCATGTCAAAAGAGTCCTCAAGTGTCGAACAAAGAAGTTGTGAGTGTTGAAGAAGTAGTCAAAAGTGACTAAGTGTCGAACAAATGGTGTACTTTGTTCAAGGTCTCCAGATAAAGGAATCGAGCCTCGATCAAATAGAGACTGTTTGAAGGCTCCATAGACCTTAAGGGAGACTTTATCGTGTACTTTGTTTGAGGGAGGACTGTTGGAGGGAATCCCACGTCGGATAATTTAGGGAATGGTGCCATTGGTATGAGGTTTTTTGGGTAACATCATACCATTGTGAGATGCTTAATCCCTAACAGAGTCCTCCGGCAAACATGGATATTCCAGCCATCAACATCACCGCCATGAACAACTTTACAAGTAAGATGCTAGACAACTGACCTGTTTCTCAAAGGAGATGAGAATCCTAAAGCGTTCGAAGTCATGAATCGATCAATTGGGAGGCCAGTACCAGCCAATGCACAAGCTCCTAAGGGGCAGAAATTCAGTCTAGATCTGCAGTCCAGCAATCGACCAGAATCCCGATCAAGCTACAAAACGTGAAATGACATTTGTAGATCCAGAATCAGATTTCTGTAGAGTTTATTAAAAGTGAAATACAAGCATAATCTCCAATCCTAATTCCGGCTTAGTTCCTTAAGATTAGGAAAATGATAAACCATGAAGCAAATTTGAAATCAATAGTTCTATAAAGTTCTATAAGTAACCATCACATCGCGAGGGAAGATCGAAACCATGCAGCTAACGATACCAGCAGCAAAGCAACCATTGATTTTAGGATTTCAGCCATAACTTAAGACGCTGAGCTAAAGTACTGTTGAATACCTGCTCAACGAATGCCAAGAGAAGATGCTGAAGTAGGACGGGCTGTGCTCTCTGCAAATGTGTATAACCTGGAACAATAGTTCCTGCATTCTTAATTGCCAAATCCACCATCGCAATCTGAAGATCTTTGATCCTCTCGACAATGGAGTCGATGGCATCGCGGCACCACAAGCGAAAATCTGTCGCGACTTGGTCGTTGCGGCTCCGAGCAGTATGAAGTTTCTTGGCAGGTTCGCCAATCAAATCAGTAAGCGCAGCTTCAATGTTCATGTGAACATCTTCCCTATCAGCTCTCCAGACGAACTCGCCATTTTGAATACGCCTCTCGATCGCATCAAGACCTGTTAGAATACTGTCTTCGTCACCGACGCTTATCAATCCCTGCAACCAAAACCACAAACCATTATCATGAATGCGCAGCGCATTATCGTTATTCAGTCCTGTTAGGGTAGAACAAACGCCACAAATAAACACTAAACATTCCGTCGCAGAAACAAAACAGAATCGAGCTTCACAGAAACTACAAAATGAAAATAAGAAGTAACAGACCTGCTTGGCGAGCATCGATGCATGAGCACGACTCCCGCGGATATCATGCTTGTAAAGGTCCTTATCAAAAGAAATCGACTCTGTAAAGCGTTCGACGGCATCTGTGACGCTCTCCTGGAAGCGGCCGCCCCAAAGCTTAATTTCCTTGGCCTCAAGCTCCATAGAATCGGAGGATCCGGGCAACGATGTTGCTCCGTTAGCCTCAGTGATTAACCGAACATCGAGGTTTGCCATGTCTATGCGAAATGAGCACAGAAACAATTAGGAGCGACAGGCTTTTATACAGGTGGCGGCTCTCTGACACTCGGTCAGACGGTGCTCAGTAGCGGGACCTCCTACCTTTTTAATCCTCACTCTCCTAACTTTTGAAAATTATATAAATTTTATAAATCACCTCTTTATTAAAATTATTTAATGTTCGAAATAGAATTGGAATGGAAGAAGTGAATTCTCGTAAGCTTTAAATATGATATAGACCATTAATTAATACTGACAAACAAATAAAATATAAATTAATTAAATATTAAAAATAAAATAAAATATACTATAAAATAATATTAAGATATAATATCTAAAATATATTCAATAAATAATATATTCTCCCAATATTATTTTTCAACATTTTTATCTAATTAAATATAATACATAAGTATTTCCAATTTATATAATATAGATAACAGGACAGAAAAATGCAAGAATGTTGAATTTTGTAGGGATGACTACACGTATATAATACAGTAAGAGAGAATACAGAGACTATAGAAAGTACATTATATTTATAGATATAATTCTTACTATAAAATAACTATTTACCATATATATGGTAAATAACTTTTGACTATATCTATTTTACAATTTACTTTATCATGTAATTAATAGTTGATGATTTTTTTTAAGAAAAAGAAAGCTATAGTCACTCTGTTGAATGAAATTCCGCTTAAGCTAATTTAGGGAATGATCATGAATTTATAATAAATCAATACTCAAGTCATCAGAGTTTATGCTCAAACTAGACAATATCATACATTTAGAGAGTCGTATCCAACTAACATATTTAAATTTTATTTTATTTTTATTAAAAACATTAAAACATGGACACTCAGACCTATCGAGGTCGAATGAAAAACCTATTTTAAATTATTTCATGTTATCTTTATTTAAAATATTATATTTATTAATATGGTTGAAATTCTTTTTAAAAAATGTATGTCTAGTGTACCATTACTTTCCATTTTTTTTATACCTATTATTAAATAAATTATAAACTTTGGAATAGAAAAACTATCCGAATATTAACTAAAAAGACGACGATTCCATTTTTAAAATTTGTATTTATTTATTGAATAAGCGTGATTCTAATATGATATAAGATTTTAATCGATTCCTTAAAAGATAAGGTACTAAACGCTCTAGAGTTAGCCATCTTTCATTTCGAGACATTGAAACCGTGCATCCAACTAAAGAATTCTATCATGAAGTTAGCCTTTGCGATTCATCATTCGCACGTCCCGTGTGAAAATTTTGAAATTTTTATAAAAATTAATAATTTTATAATTATTTAAAATGTTTATTTCCCGAATTGACCCGAAAGTGCTTACTCAGAAAACAGAGCACATGGACATAATTTTTTTTAAAGCATAAATAATAAAAGGGATATTATTATTATTATTATTATTATTATAAATATTTTTTAAAAAATAGATACAAAATTCAAAGTGCAATTACTTTAGCCTACTTTTAAAAGCCAATTCAATATTCTTTTATAAAAGAAAAAATGGTTGAAAATAAAGCTAATCTATTGGTTGAAAATAATAGTAATAAAATATTTATTTTTCAAAAAATAATTAAAATTATGTCTAGATTCTTTCTAATCTCAAATATAAATTTTGTAAATAGGGTTTTTATATATCTATTTAATAATAATTTTAAAAATTAATAACCGTTCAACGTGTTAATATATTTATAGCTGATGAAACAAAATTAAGTATTAATAAGTTATGATTTTTTTTGTTATAATAATTATAATATTAGTATTTTATTTTAATAAAAATAAATTGAGTTTATAATCTAAAATACTATATTTTTTAATTTTTTTAAATTTTGATTTAATTTTGCTTTTCAAAATTCATAATTTACAATTATTTGGATCATTTGTCAACCCTATATTAACTCATTCCAAATAATTGAATAAAATATATATTTAATGTTTAATTTTTATTTGTGTAAAATAAATTTTAAAAGTAGTAATTTAAAATTCAATTCTATAATTAATGGATCATTTAATATTTGAAAATTATTGAATATATTAAGTAGCTGTATTTTTATTTATTAAATACAAAATTAAAATTTTTATATTTATGTTAGAAATTTAAATGATAATATGAGTTTAATTTAAATAAAAGTATATATTAACGTGTCACCGTTTGATTGGTCAATAGTAATGGGCCCTCGTTCAATGATTAAGAAACTAATAATAGGGAGAGTGGGCCCACCATTTTGGGCCTTAAAGCCCAAAGCTCTCAAATTTCGATAGCCTATTATTTCTTTTTTTGGTGGTAACTTCGAATTTTTCATCTCTCTTTAAAAAATATATTTATAAAACCTTTCAAAATTATTATTTAAAAAAAATATTAAAATATAGTTTTTAAAAGAAATAATATTGAAATAATTGTATTTTTTTAAAATACACAAACTATAATTATTTTTTAAAATAATTTGATCCAAATACAATAATAAAAATAATCTTTTAAAAAATGCTTGGTCTGTCATTTGCGGGAGTGATTTGGGCCCTGATGGGCCCATTTTGCCAATTGCGGAAGTGATTTGGGCTCTGGTGGGCCCAATTTGCCAATAAATACAAATCTCCCGGTGATTTTAACAATAATAATTATTTATTAAAAAGTATAAAAATGGAAAGTTTTGTTTGTGCGCTATAACTTAGAAGAGTCGGCTAATATAGTATTCAATAATTAATATAATTAATTTTATTTTCTATAGTATCGTATTTAATAAATTTAATAATTATTATTATTTTAATACATGCTTGAAACATAATGTAACGACCCAGATCCACCGCTAGTAGATATTGTTCTCTTTGGTCTTTAAAACACATCAATTAGGGGAGGTTTCCACACCCTTATAGATAGTAGTTTTGTTCCCCACCCCAACCAATGTGGGACATCACAATTCACCCCCTTTGAGCCTAGCGTCCTGGTTGGCACTCTTTCTTTCCTCCCATCGATATCGGACTGCCCCCAAATCCACCCCCCCCAATGTGGGACATCACAATCCACCCCCTTTGGGCCCAGCGTCCTCGCTGACACTTTTTCTTTCCTCCCATGGATATCGGAGGGCCCCCAAATCCACCCCCCTTTGGGATCCAGCATCCTTACTAGCACACCGCCTCGTGTCTACCCCCCTTCGAGGAAGGGCGAGAAGGCTGACACATCGTCTGGTGTTTGGCTCTAATATCATTTGTAACGACCCAGATTCACCGCTAGCAGATATTGTCCTCTTTGGGCTTTCCCTTTCGAGCTTCCACTCAAGGCTTTAAAATGCGTCTACTAGGGGGAAGGTTTCCACACTCTTATAAATGGTGGTTTGTTCTCCTCTTCAACCAACATAGGACATCACACATAATTACAAATCGAATTAAATTGATATTTTTTTCGTTATTCTAAAGTACACGAAAATGAATAGGTTGGGTAATCTAAGTTGGTCGAGCAGCGTGGCACGCAAGTTTTCTGGTCAATATTCTTCAACGCCAATTTTCATAAATATAAACTTAAATTATATAAAAATACAATAAATTATACATTTTAAGTACCAATTATTAAATCAAGGGTGATTTTTTATTCATCATTAAGGAGTGACGTCATCAAAACATATTCTAAAATTTATAATATTTTGAATAATTTAATTAAATAAATAAATAAATAATTTCTGGCCTATTATTTAAAGAGTCCAAGCACCACAAATCCGACCTGGCAATAGTTTCTCATATTCGTTTTCCTCTACTCCCATATCTACAGTATCCAAAATGTAGTCTCGCGTCGGTGACGTAGATTCTTCCTAGAAATTTGATTCTTTAAATCCTAGCCGTCCACGTGTTGCCGTGTATTGACTTTCAACCTTGTTTTTTGCAGACGATAAAGTCCTCCTTGCAGCCTTTCTCACCACGTAAACGTAATTTATATTTAATATGTGAAATTTGATTGGTGTCAAATGATCATTGGAGAAGCATCGACGGATCCGACTGTATCGAAAAAGCGTTTCATCTTTAACTTCTTCAATTTTGACGATCAGTTGGCTGAAATTTTCGGTGTTCAATTTGAATTCGTCGGCCTCTGAATCGTCCATTTGCAGAAGACCGTAGCCATCGGAGGTTTTGCTTTGAGGTTTGTTCGTTAAGGTATTATAGCTCTTTCTATGTTTCTTTAGCTTTAAATTTTTGCCTTATCGCTATAGATTGTGTGTTTGGATCATTCTGCGCAAGAATTCTGGATTCCTTTTTGTTACTTTCGGTTGCAATGTTTGAAAAGCAAGTTTTCGGAAAGTCAATTACTAGCGGGAGGAGGTTGCTTCAGGAAGAGATTGATTTAAGTTTCTGTCTGTGTTTGGAATTTATGAGTTCTAAGGATTTAGAGGTATTTGTTTGTTCGTTTAAATTTTCGGTGCTTGAATGAGTCTGAAACCTAACAAGAGAACGCGATTGCTTTTTTTTTCTTCATCATTTTTTAAAATAGGAACAATGTTATATTATAGGTTCTCTTGATCTTGCCAACCTCTTGAGTAGAAGCAATCTCTCAAATTAAAAATGGGAAGAAAGATCGTTGTCGGCCTTAATTGTGAACTTTGTGGGAGATAAATTTAGTAAAGCCGCGTTTCCTCTTTTGGTTACAGCTCGATCTTGTCAAGGTAGTTTATAGGTAATGGTTATTGTTTTGATTTGTCTATTTCCAATTCTGCGAAAGCATCTACCTGGATTGCCACGCGAATTGGACTTTGAAAATTGAGTCGTTGCCTGTTTTGTCATGTTTTTCTGCTAAAATTCTTGAAGAATTTTGTATTTTAAGGCGTGAAGTAAGGTGGAACAGAGTCCATTATATCTCCCTTCTTTCGTATTTTTTTCCTTCCTGAGCTTGCTGGATCCTTTGGATACATTCAAGACTCTATTCTTTAATCTATGCTACATTACGTGCTATGGAATTTACTTGTTAGTTTCTTCTTTTTGTTAACTTGTACAATCTATGATTGCAACAA